ATATCATTGACTAGGAATATCCTCCATTACTACCATTGTCTTTATATTGGCAAGGAAATTTCGTTTTATATGTTCAAAGGCATCACCAAGAACATGGACTTTCGTTAAACCTCTTTGTTTTACAAACTTCATTCTATGCAGTATTGATTCTGCCCAGTGCTTTGTGAGGTCCATTTGGCCACCAAATTCCTTAAGATAGAACTTGTTGTGTCTCATTACAACACCTTCACCACTGGCAATGACAGTTGATCTTGTCATAACTGCTCCATTGTCCCTCTGGGCCCTGATGAAGTCCTGCATTTCATGGTCCATGTCTTCCCCAAGGACAAAGGGCCTACCTTGCTTTCCCTTTGGTAGTGAAGTCACTGTGGAGTATTCTTTATTGCCACTAGCCGACTGCAGTAACGCTTCACTATATTTTCTCTTAATACCCCTGACAGTGCTTTCACTTACCTTATATTCTTTGGAAGCATTAGCAATGCCATGCTGAGTGGCAAATGCACCGAAAATGGCACGTTCTACGTCTGTTAGCTTCTTGTAAGGACCTCGATCTCGTCGTTGCTGCAAATCGTTGCTGGCCATGATGATGCTGAACTAACCACACCTATATTGAAGTCAACAAATGGGTGGAGAGTTCCAGAGATACGACGCAAACTGAGTGTAGTTCTGAAGAGAACTGTTTTAAGCAGCTTCGAAGAGACCAAGGATTAGTGACAACAAGAGGAAGAACACTGCACTGACTGCAGCAGGGAGCTCTGCTTCAATATAGCGCTCTTTTCAATTAAATTGCATCCCGGTATCTATGGTGATTGATGGGTGCGGCAACTTGCGGGAAAATCTGCGAATAATAGCAGCCGCGAATATAACCCGACCTACGGTAGTTTTACAAGTACTGTAATACTTTTAGTTAGCTATAGTTAGTTTTATAAATTTCATTACACTTTTAGTTAGTTAATAGTTTTTCTTTTTTAAAAGTACTATTAGTTAGTTACAGTTAGTTTCAAAAAATTGATAAAAAATTTAGTTAGTTATAGTTAGTTAACTAAAAGTATATCTGGCCTAACTAAAAGGGTTGTAGTTTTAGCTAAAGCAACACTAGTATTATTACTACTGCTATTATTTTGTCACTAGCTGTTTCAGAAGCACCTACTGCACAGGTGCCTCAAAAAGGAAAGCAGATAACTTCGAACACAAAAAGTATCATTATTAACAGCTACTGTATATTACTCTTACCATACTGTATTAGAAGGAAATAAGAGAGACTGTGCTACCTCATGTAAATCAAAGAAAGAGGAATGTGTGACTAACTCAAAATTGGTGCAAAAAGAAATGGGTTACTGGCTCTTTGTTGAAGTGACTCATCATAATGACTGGTAACATAAACATACACATTGTATACTTTATTGCTTAATTTTCTTATTTTTGAAAAATATTAACACTTTATGCCTGAGTAAAACAGATATTGTCAATGAGTGACAGACTGTCACAGTTGCGAAGAGTGGGAACAGTGTTGAGAAAGAGACGTTGGTACTGTCGTTGGCGAAGTTAAGACTGGAAAGAATTCAGATATTATTTACTTACACACAAGTAGTGATCACACTCTCTCACTCTGACAAAGGTAGATGTACATGTAGGTACAGGAAAAGATTGTCTTTTATTATTAGTTATTAGTAATTGTATGAGAGTAACGAATTCAAATGCTCTTTTGTGCTTCGTTGATACAGCTGAAATATTGCTCATAGATTCTGTATTATTTTTGTTCACGGTAGCAGCTAAATTTTGTATCATGTCACATTTTTTTGTACACTATTTTATTAGACATATTGCTGTGACTTACAATAATTTATCATAATCATTGATTCATTATCTATGGAAACAAGTTTTGATGACCTGCACACGAGACTGACAATGACAGAACACTCATTAAAGAATGCAATAGTCAGGATAAACAAATTACAGGAGACTATGAGTAACGAGCCACATTTTTCTGTTATATGATGACCCATGGAACGAATCTCAAATGGGTCAACAGTTCGATGTCACTCAACATTTTATGTCAGCTAGCTACAACTGCAGTACTGGTAATACATTTTCTGATTCATTGACAGACGATTATCCTTCTCCAATGCCATCTCCTATTGCACATCCTCATATGAATCATTCCACAGCAGACTGATAATGTAAGTTTAAGCATTACCCCTCTTTTTACTCCTGCCACAACTTCACTCGTATTCTCAGCCCCATCCTCACACACATTTAGACACTGAACCAGCTCTTTCTCCTGTAAAATTTTACAATTATTACCAATCCCCACCTGTACCTAGCCCCACACCATTGCAACAATCCACCTGTCATCCCTCTGCATTACCAATACCAATACCCACTTTGGTTCCTACATGTTTGCCAATTATAAGGAGAACTAAAAGTGGCAATTTATCAAGTACAGGTATCTCATTTCACCTAATATGGTTGTCAAGAAGTATGAATATTTTATGGCAAAAGAACCTAGTAGGGATACTAGCAGTAAAGTAGCCAATGAAAGTTTGCTTGGAGCTGATATCCTGAAGCAAAGTAATGCGACACCATGCTTTGCAGTTCGTGTGAAGTGATTGTGCTTGGGATCAACAATAGTGAATCGTACACAGTCAAAATAGGGAAGCTTCATCAATTCAGAGTATCGTGACTCTGTTTCATGCTCCTTTTAGTTTTTGCTATTTCCTCTTAAGCAAAAAAAGCATTAGCTTTATGTGGACTGTGTGGATGAAGTGAAAAAATAGTAGTTCCTGAGTAATCTATTTTGTTTCGCTCTTTATCAAAAGTAAAAATTTGTTTACATTTAGAACAGGCATGCCTAGAAGTATGGCCACAAATCCCACAAATTTTACGTGCTGCAGGGATATCTAAGGCAACACAAGGCAATGCTGCCCTAACATTAATTTCACCAGCATTAAAAACAACCTTAAATTCATGCTACAAATCAAGTAAATCATTAACCAAAGGCAAAGGTAATAATTTTTCTGTAAGTAGGCTCAGTAGGTCCTGGGATTATTACTGCAATTATAAGGTTCTCTCTTAACAATTATTTTGTGGTAAATTCATTATTAATACGTAAAA